AAATTTTTAACTTTTTTTGACAATTAGAACAAATTCTAGACCCAATTGTAGAAAAAATTATCACTTTAATGGACAATTTTCATGAAAAATGAAATCAAACTTTTAACATTTTTCTGATGAAAAATTATACTAATAAAACACAATTAATTATAATTCCCAATAAAATAATTTCTAGGCAATTTAATTCCTTGAAATTCATTTTCTTTCCTCCCATTTTCCACATTTACAATCAAACGGACCCTAATATCAATCACGTAATTGTACTTCAATTTTATTTAATTGAGTACATATACTTTAATATGATTTCATTCATGGAAATTATACTTTTTATATTACATAACTCCATCGAATTTCATTATCTAGACCGACAAATTGTGGTATGAAATATGTTCAATTTCGGTGAAATAAATGAAGGACTTTAACGAAAATCAATTCTTCGATTTTGGTTAGATTAGTGAAGGAAATAGATGGAGTCATCATATTGATATCAAATTAAAGTGTAATTGCATGATTGAACAAAAATTACTTTATTGATAATTGAGTAAAATCTAATTGTATTTACCAACAAGAAGCAAATATGAATAATAAAGTCACAAATTGTGCTGATTCCTTTCTTCTTTTGGGAAATTGAAAGACATGGCCTACAAGTTAGTAAAATAATAGTTTCTCTTTTGACAAGTAGATGCATACATACATGCATACATACATACATTTAAACTATAGGGCCAGTTTGAGTTTTGGAATAGTAGAATAATGCAGAATTTGGGGTTAAAAATGAAGGAAGAATTTTTAGGTCGTGTGCAATACTAATTTATTGAAAAACGTGTAGTTGAAAAGAAAATAGAGAATGATGTATTTTGAAAAAATAGGGATCAAACATAATTCAATACAATGATTAATTGATGACTTTAGTATTTTCTATTTATAATGTTGAAAGTCCGACAGTGACAAGTATTTTGCACTTGATTAAAATGCTGGCCCATGTCAAGGCGAAATTAATTGACTTGTATACAAATTTTAAAATTAAGCACTCACCAGTAAATTTATAAATGTTTATAAATGAAAAATAATAATAGCGAGTCTCACGACATATGTAACAATAAATTACTCGGTTTGAAAGAGCTTTTGAAAAGTCAAAAGTTGCAAAATTAAAAACTTACTTTTGAACATATTTAGATAATTTTATAAAAGAATTTTGTCTGATATAATAAAAAGTAAAAACCATACCAAACAAGTTCGTACAAATATAGTGACAAGTGAAAACTTGAAGAGTAATAAATTTTCCGGCGATTTCATTGGCAATTATATTTTCTTTAAGTAATATAGATTTGTGTTAGAATTTCATCAATTAATTTTTTAATAGAAAAGTAATTGATAACCCACCTTCCGAA